GAAGAAAGTATATAATTCAATCACTTTATCATTCTGCCGTAGGCTCAGGGTAGGGGAGCATACACGCAATTAAGTATGTTTGAAAAATATAATTTCTGGTATTACAACATATCTTACATTCTTATGGATATATCAAAGGTGTAGAGATCGGGGAGGATTATATTACAAAAAACTCTTCCATGAATTTTTAAAATAAATTGGAAGTTCTCTCTCTCTCATATGCAAAACACGTTGCACATATTATATATTTTAAAATCTGTTATCTGACGGGTTCACTTTAAATTTTAATAAAAACGACAAGTCTACAGAAAACCGTAACGCCGCATATAAATGTCTGGATCTATGTGAATTATTAAAATTAAAAGCATGACATGACAAGCGGTACACGCATAATAAAAACCCTATATATCTCTCGCGCGAGTAACGGGAAGAGGGAAAAAAAACAAGTATAAAAGAAAAATTTAATACGCACAGGATCCTCATAAAATGTTGAATGCAGTAATTGCGAGTCTCGTAATATAAAAGGATGTTTGAGCTGAGTGCTTCATATTGCCGACAAAATGGCACGTGTGTCTAATAATGGTTTTTTCGTATACGGTATTATATACTTACTTCTATAATACACAATCCCGTTTGATCTTATATCTATTGTATATAACGCGATAAAAAATTATAATTAATTTCGTAAAAAATTCTAAAGTTAAATTTATCTATATCGCAATTTCAAAATATCTCAAATTATAAATATAGAAAAATATAATTCGTTACTACGTGTAACATTATGCAAGCTGAAGAGGAAAGTTTAAGGCTCCTGGATGGTCAGCCGAGAACTCTGCGTTGACGGTGGCGCCGCCACTCTCTCCTCTCACTCTCTCCAATGGAGAATTCTGTCTTGTGACATGTTGACAACCTATTTTGTCGTCCGTACCATTTTCAAATAAAGAGACATTTCAATAAAACATCACTATAGATCGTTTCAGAACACTTCCGAAATTGACCGAAAAGTAAGATTTGCATGCGGAAGTAACGTTTTCACCTCCTTTCGATAGTCGTTAAACGGCTGTTTTTCCCGTATGTTTAGGCTTTGTTTTATAGCTGTTTGTTTATTGTCGAGGGAAAAGGGTAGTTTTCGGTCAATTTCGGAAGTGTTCTGAAACGATCTATAGTGATGTTTTATTGAAATGTCTCTTTATTTGAAAATGGTACGGACGACAAAATTGGGTGTTTTCCTCGCCTCAATAGTGAAAATTCAATATGGCCGCGGTGACCATCCAGGAGCCTTAAATAAGAAAAATTTACAATTTATCAGACAAAGTGCCATTTGCGGTCCGGACTGAATTTCCTAATAAAAAAAATTTAATATTTTATTCTAAAAAAAATTACAGAAAATAAATAAAAGCTTAAAACAATTAAATGTTTTATCTTTTGTTTCGATAAAATATTTCGCAATGTGTTCGAATCGCAAAATAAATTTTTAGATCTAACTAATAAGTTATAATTACAAATTCTTTGCTGCAATTTGGCAATGTCAGACCGAAGTGTAATTACTGCGTGTCGCGAAATTATTTCTTAAAAAAACAAAAAACGTCTTCAGGAATGTATGCTGCAGTTAGTTTTTGAAAGAACCTTGCCCAAAATGAGCCATTGACGCACAACATTGAATCATATGCCATTTTATGGCATATGATAAGTAGGTATTGTTGTGTATGTATGTACACACATCATTAGAAAAATATAAGTTTAGGTTCTGGGGGTGAGGCGAAAGAAGTCATTTAAGAAGAGAGAGAGAGAGAGAGAGAGAGAGAGAGAGAGAGAGAGAGAGAGAGAGAGAGAGAGAGAGAGAGAGAGAGAGAGTGAGAGAGAGAGAGAGAGAGAGAGAGAGAGAGAGAGAGAGAGAGAGAGAGATTTAATTATCTTAATACCTATTTATTATTACCTTCACCGTCAGAACCGTCAGAAAATGATATTAAAATATCTTCAATATCTTCAATATACTCTGATGGCAGCTTGATTCTTGCGTTCGAATTTTTTTCCTTTTGGCCAAAAAGTACAAACCGGCCGCAAGCCTGAAAGTCGAATAAACCAATAAGTTCATTCGTTACCGCCGTCATCACGGCCCTGGCACAAGAAAGTCTGAACAATATTATAAAATATTTTATTTTATATAAAATTAGTGATATTATAATATTTAAATTAAATAGTGTAAAGTTTTTAGCTAATATTACATTTAGCTAATATGGTAATATGTGAAATTCACACCCCAGAAAGTCTTTCCCCACGTTTTCAAGGCTTGGAACCATGTTATTATTATTTCTATCATATACCTCCTCTACAAATGCATATAGAAGTCAAGTGTTCATGGCTCAAAACCCTTTAATAAAATGGGCAAGGTTCTTTTACGTATACAAGTCTGTATACATATATGATTTAAATGTCGGATTATAAAGTCAGATTATACTTACGTATGTATAATTATAAATATATTTGCAAATTGATAAAACGTTCTACAATATAACAATGATTACAATGAAGACAATGATAACGGCGATCACAGAGAGTTTTGTCGATATAACGATACAACATTATAATCAAGAAAGTTATCACTTTCTCGTAATAAGTATAACACGTGTAAGGCATCTGTGATTTCACCTATTGACGTTATTTTTAATCTTCGTGAAGTACAATTTTCTTTTCGCCTCGAGTTTCGCTACGGCCTGCAATCTCTTTCTTTCGATTTCCTCCGCGGTACACCGTGCCGGCTGCGAACCAGTTTTCGTCATTTCCGGCGTATCGTTTTTCATATTACCGGTAGAATGATGCTTAACGAAGCGATCACCATCGCTTTTTACCGCGTACCTGTTAACATCGGACCCACGCGTTTGACCCGTATCATGCATTAATGAAAAAGCATTATTCTCGATCTTACGAACATTTGTAACAATCGGTTTTGTACTTACGAGGGTACGCGCGATACCCATATGCGGTATTGAGCCTCTAGACGAGTGCTGTAACGTAGGTCTCGTCGCGTAACACGAAGCGCCTGTACCTTTAGCATTCGTACTCGCGTCCCGACTAACGTACTGATCGGATAAACTCTTAGTTTTAAAGAACTTTCTATTTTCTAATAAGCTAACGTTAGATGTTTCAGGCTTTGCCATAGGATTAAGCGAATCAGCAGATTTCGTTTCCGACTTTAACGGCGCGTTAGTCAAACGTTTATAATTGGCCTGGCATTTCGTGCTGTCGTCTTTACGAGTTAAGGATCCATCGGATTTCGGTAGTGATTTTTCATCCTCAACGCAGGTCACTAACCAATCGTCAAAAGAATCATCCTCCAAATCGAACAAGTCTGCGGTGTTACTTTTTGTCAGTTTCTTATTGTCGCACGGCTTCTGGACACGGGATATCGTATTATTGTTATTTGGACACGGTTTGTATGGATCTTTACTTTTCTGCGCTGTGACACACGTACTAGAGCTCGTATCTCGTTTTAATGACAATTTCGAGTATGTCTTTAATGTATTACTATCGCTTGCGCCTAAAACACTCCTGACTAATGGTTTCGTACAATTCTCACTGGAACCAGACTGTACAGATGTTTTACTGGGTACGTCATTCGTGTGTAATTCTTCCTTTTTGACCTGCGTCACCTGCGAGTGCACGGAAACAGAACTTCCTTTGTCCATCAAATTGAATTTCTCCTCTATCTCCTGAGTGCACCTGATTATATCGTCGTCTACAGAGTCATCAAATAAATCGTCGTAACTTCCATTCACTTGCTTTTTGCTGGCTTCGTTACGATCATGCGTCTCTCCAACGCTATTATGCCCGTTATTGTTGCCACTTTCTCCGATGCTATTCTGTTTATCTTTAATTTCTGACGTGTTTTCCTCGTTACTTACATTCGTTAACGTCGGTGCTTCTTTCTCTTTGATACAATCGCTCTTGTCGTTCTGCTTTATAACTCTCATCTTCTCGTTCAAAGCTTGCAGCTCAGCTGCAAATTGTCCAATGTTCTCCATGTTTTCCATCTTGATGGTCTTTCTCTTGAGCGGCTTGTACAGCAGAGGCGAGTTCGAATTTCTCTTCCTTTGCAGCAGCTTGGTTCCTTTAGGCGTTTCGCACTGAACGTTCTGTCGCTTGTTTCTGTTCTCCGGAGTCCTGCTCAGAGAACTTTGCCAATCCCACGCAACCTCGTTACCGCCTTCCTGCGTGCACGGAGGCAAGATCAGGCTCGGGGAGTAATCGAGATCCAGCGAGTTTTCGGCATCCGCGTTCGTGCTTGGGTTCTTTGCAATCGGCGTGCTGTGGCTGGAGCCTGACTGTTCGTGGCCTCGGGGAGAGCTGTCATTCTTCTTATTTGCCTTGCCATTTGTCGTCATTGTCACGCTTTCCACACCTACACGGAATCACACATGCTCTTATTAATAACAAAAAATAGAAGATAATTAACGTGATTAAACAAGATTAGCTATAATTACCTTTTTTCTCGCTCAAATGTGATATCTTGCCATTTTTATATTTTATACATCTCATCATCGGTTTTTCTGACTCGTTTATAATTGTTTTAAACTCTTTATTCCAATATAGAGCTTCCAATATCGGACGGTTCTTCTCAATTCTCTATTCCAGTAGAGCTTCCAACATCGGTCGATCCTAACCTATACTGCGTACCGGCAAGACAGACCGCTGAATCTCTTTAAACGAGCTTCTTCTTTGAATCTTAATGAACGTCAGTTTGACAATACTCGAATCTACTCGAGCAAGCATCCAATTAGAATCGTCGCACTTTCCAAGATAAACATATACTGTTACGTAAACAATCACAAACGTCAAGTCAGGAACAACGCGCCTAGTTGGTGGTTGGTGTCGAGACTGTCGAGTCGATTGTCGAAGTCGAATCGCCAATATCGCCATTTCCCAAAGTTCCCGGCAATCCCGGTAAATTACCAGGAGCGCCCCATACAAAATGCCGCAAAGCGAGGTGACCAATCACCGCTTATCTATTAATTAAGACCTTAGGCCGGTATTCATAATCAGATCTTATTTCAAAACCGTCTTATGGCTTCTGCACACAGGACGCGGAAACGCTTGCCGCGCGGCAAGAAGCAACGCGGTAGCCAATAAACTTTTGGTTCTTACGGAAAAGCAACACGTTGATTG